TAGAATGGAATTCTATGACGTTCAAATAAGATTTAGCCTGCAATTCGCTGAAGAACTTTGGATCAAGACAAAAAGAAAGATAAAATGAAGCATGTCTCATGGAGGATATTTGGTTTCATATTCTTTCTAGTAAATGCTGTATGGTGCTGAAGTTCGTATGTTTATATGGCGGTCGTGAGATGTAGATTTGAAATTCCCAAATCGATCAGAATTACGTGATGTCCAACCACTATGTCGATCAACCACGCCGATCAAGTTGGAAAACCAGAAAACTGGATTCTCTACATGCACAATATCGACCATGACATCAATCATCCATTTTGAGTGGGACTACGCTCCTTAATGATGTGGGTTCTGCCTAAATCTTTGATCGACCAGATCAACCATGTTGATAAACTTCACATTTTTTTATTTGATATGAGTTTGATATGATTTATCTGGTTCGAGTCAATTTGAATTACTTTAGTATTTAAATATTTTTCTACAATTTTAACAAATTATTAACAAACCAATATTGATTTATATTTACATATCATAAAACAAAGTTAGAAATGTTTCATTCTCTAAAAGATATATGCATTATGTTTTTGGTCCACTTATTATTATATGCTTTTTAATCTTTTCAAGCATTATACCATTCTAGATAACTAGTCCCCATATTATATAAACATCCATTGATGATCATGAGTTTTTTTTTCGTCGAGTGTCGTCATTCTCTTAATCATCTCTTGCTTGTTTTTGTTGCTATAGTTGGCAAAAGAAATGAAGATTTTTGTTCTTTTATCACGCCCTTTTTATTGTCATCTTTATCACGCTCTTATAGTCTTAGCAAAGAAAAAAAACCACGCTCTTATAGTCTTATTATTCTAGTTTGGTAGGTCGGTGAATGGGGAATACGTGGTCCCATGTCTCCAATGCATTTAGAGTCCATTTACGATATAGTAAAAAATGAACATATTTTAGAAAGCAAAGTGAAATATTTTCATTAGGAAAAAAATAGCAAAGATAAAATGTGTAACACTTATATTTGCAGCATTTTATGTAGAAATTCATTGCCGTTAGTGTGACTTGAGTCGAATTTCGTCCGGTCATCAAATACTACTTACTTAGGGTGTGATTGGTTCGGCTGTAGTAGAAAGTAGTTACAGCCTCAAAATTTTTGTACAACCCTAAAAGTTACCAATCAGTCTTTAGATTAGTTTTAAAAGCTAAAGTCAAAAAAATTATATACTTTAATTTACAATTTTTATATATAACTATACAGATATGTTATATATATACACACAATTTTTACACTAATTTATATAAAAACATTAATATATATGTACTACTAATACAAAATATTAATATATATGTACTACTTATATATAATATTAATATATAAGCATATTTTCTTTTAATTTTATATAGAAACAAGATTATATTAGTTAAATACATTTTCCATATACATTATTAATATAAATATCAATTATACCTACCAAAAAGAAAAAAAAATATATATATATATCAATTACTTTATTTTATAATTATAATTATAAAAAATTGTACATCATACATCTACTACTTACCAATCATACTTTAACTTTCGAATAGTTACAGCCAAAATTCTAAAACTACAGCAAAAACGTCTACAGCCCAAATTTTACAGCAATTAATCTACATGTACTGTCCAACCAATCACCCACTCAGTTTTTGGCTTTTGTCATTAGACAATTTTTGATAGTTCAAAATCTAGAGTATCTATTGTTGGTTTTGTTTTCACTTTTCAACGTCTATTGTAATTACTCTATATACTATCTCGAAAATATTCTTATTAAATGTAGAAGAAATCGTAATATTCCCTATATATACTAGTACATAGGTTGATTACTTAGGATGATCTAGAAACCCCCAAAAATAAAGTTCCCATGTGAGTGCAAGAAGTGTCAAAGACTATATGTGAACTACACACGAACACAACAAACAAATTTTGTTGTCC